AGAATGCACCTATCCGTAAGCTGAAGAGGCGATTTGTTGGGCCTTTTTTTGTGGTTCGTCAGGTGGGACCAGTGGCCTACGAACTCGATCTCCTTGAGAAGTGGAAGATTCACAACATATTCCACATCAGCTTACTGCGTCCTTTCAGAACCAACCAGTGGGCGCACCCTACTCAGGAGGGTCAGATTGAGGACATCGAGCCCGCAAAGGATGAGCCGTACGATGTCCAGAAATTACTGCGTTGGCGGTGGGCAGGACCCAGTTCCAGGAGGCGCAAAGAGTACTTAGTGCTTTGGAAAGATTATTCATTGGACGACGCTACCTGGACTCCAGAGGAGAACTTCACTTACCCAGAAGAACTTAAAAAGATGATCAAGAGGGACCAACCCGTTGAGGACAAGTAGGCCATTAGGTTTCGCTTAGACGTTTCGAGGGCGAAACTACCCCCAGGGGGGAGTACTGTTGTGTAAACTACTAGGGGGTAGCTGGTTTACTCCAATTATTCACTGGGAAGTGATAATTGATATGAGATTGTACCTAGTGGGATAGAGGAGGCTGTTAGCTTTCCATAGGTCTTTGGATCATCCCAAACGGGTTAGCGGTAGTGGAGTTATGGCTTATAGAAGTTCCAGTAGTTAAGGTTGGGCCCCTACCGTACTCGGGGATGAGATACTATCGATATGGGTACATTCGATACATGTTCTGTCGATTGTGTACCACTGCGTGCGGGGGTCATGTGACGGACCCCGCACGACAGCCTGTAATTTCATTGTGCCCACTCTCGCCTCCCAGCGGCTGCACCCGCAGGCCGCAAGGCGCCGCGCGCACCCACTGCGCGTACGGCCACCCCGCGCCCGGCCAATCCGCAAGCTTGGGCCCACACTGCGCATCCGAAGAAGACGAGCGCCCCGCAAGGCCCGCCGGCCATCCAGCGGAGGGGGCCCTGCAGCCCCATCGGGCACCTCGGCGGGAGCATCGCCCGCAAACACACCGAAAACCACGCCACTCGCGTCCGCTCCGCCACGTGCATCGCTGGGCTGCGCCGCACCTCACGCCATCCCGCGACCCCCGGCCGGATGCACGTCCCCAACCCGCTCGTCAGCATTCGCACCTCCCGCCAACCGGTCCCCCGAGCCACGCCGGTTGCCGCCCCGCTTGGTTGCGCGCGCTTGCAGCGCCCAATCTCCAATCGCTTGCAAGAGATCCTCCCCCACATCCCCAATCCCGCGCTTTTCATGGTCGGTATCCAACACCCCCATGTCGCGGGCAGCATTTTCCTTACGCAAGGCTGTTCGCGAAGCATCTTCCAGGCTTTTATATCCAACGAACCGGACGGCCTCGCACAGATCGGTGCGCAGACCCCCAACCCACGCCCTATACCACAAGTTCTCGGTCGCTTCGGCCGATCGAGACACCAATTCGCGGAACCGGCCAAGGTACTCCTTGACCGATTCCTTCCCACCTTGCCGGAGACTCTTCAAGGAGGCATTGATTCGTTCCTCCAAGTCATCCTCAGCGAACCGCTCGATGAACTTTTCCTTCACCTCCTCCCATTCCCGCTCTCCGTCCTGCATCCATCGAGCTAAAGACCGCGCCCATCGCACGGCCTCTCCTTCCACACAAATTGTAAGCAACGCAATCCGCTGCGCGTCTTCGAAGATGGCAGATGCAACACATACTCCCTCAAAGTGGAGCATCCACTCTTCGGCATCTTCACCTCCCGCCTCCCCAGAAAATAGGCGGGGACGGATCTTCATGGTGCCCTCCTTCGGCGCTCCCCGGCGTACCGCGTGCTCTCACTCCGCTTCCGCGCCCGTCCCGGCGATGGAACCAAACACTGTCGGCCTTTGGGCAGCTCAATTGCGCAATGAGCCTTTGGGCTGCGGCGACCCCGTGGGTACGGGAGGCATTCACGACGGCCACGCGCGGGGAAGACAAGTCTGTCACTCACGATCCGAACCCATCATTACAGACAAAGCGAGTGGTATTTATAGTGCGATGGTGTGACAGTTCATGAGTTGTTGTCTCCAGAATAACCAGTCTGGCCACTTTCACGAGCTGGCCGGGTTCGTATCCATTTCTCATGCCAAGTTTCTATTCCCGCCGCCCAGACCAACCATGATCCATTGCCAACTAGCCCAGCAGCTACCCGCGTACACTACCCACTCCCACTCTCCCTCACTCCCACACTTCCTCAGCTCCTATTCCCGCCGCCATCCCCAACTATGATCCAATCCCAAAGCCGTCCCCGTTCATTCACTACAGCCAATTCCCCTTAACTGGCTCCCCTGTCATACGTACAACCCCACTCCCCACAGACACAGGAAGTCGTGCAGGCCGTGCTGTGACATTGCCGCACAATCGAAACGACACCAGGAACGACTTGCACTCTTGGCTGCGCCGCTTTGCATAGCGAGGGCCTAGGCTCTGGCAGCTCGGGGGTGATGGGGGTAACTGAGGAAGACGTTGGAATCTTGTGCTATGCCAGCGACCTTCCAGGTTTCAGTGCGGTGTTGAAACACAGGCAGGTGCTCGATATGGCTTGCAAGGCAGGCTTGAACAGTATGGGAGGCCTGCGAAGGGGCCCGTTGTCCCTTTGGGTTGGATCTGGTGGCCGTAGCAATGTCGTGTGCTGCAGATTTTGGACTCTAGAGGAGAGTTTTGCACAGCTGCTAGTACGCCGCACGTGGCGTTAATTCTTCGTTGGCTGGGGCAGAATGGACTATGCCTGCATGCCGTGTTGCCCGTAAGTAACGGGGTGTATTTGGCGTTGAATGTTACCCCGTCAATGTTTCGTCATGCTGCAGCCTATTCTCTTCGTGGTGGACATCAGCTGCCCACAGATGAGCGCGACCGCTCCTCTGTCGGAAGTAGAAAGTCAGGGCTGCCCTCGATATCAATTGTTTAAGGCCTGTTTGTGCCTCTCAGGTACAGCGATTTCTTGGTGAACGAAGTTGATCCACAAGGGAGAGTTGCCCACCTCACACAACTGGAGGTCCCCACTGCATTCGGCAAAGAATGTGTGAGCCCAGAATGCTATGAAACCTTTGCATGGTGGTTGTTTTTAAACGTTGAATCTGGATGCACGCGATGATATGCAACCCAGCCTTGTGGGAACTCATCATTCGCATTGAGGAACCGGGTGTCTGCTTTGTTTCACAGAATGACCTTTCAGGGGAACGGGTCACTGAGAGTCAAGCGGGCTCTGCGTCGGTCGATATTGGGCAACTTGTGCCTGACGTTGTTAAAAGATTTGCAGCCTTGGCTGGGCATGAGAATGCTGGTAAACTGGCCAAGCTCTTGGGGTGCATTGGGACCTCCCAGACTGCGTCCAAGAGCTCTGATGACTGTCCAGTGTTGGACAGTGTGCTTCTGGAAGATGGCATGGAGGACAAACAACACCGGAAGGTGACTTCATTGCACAGCTGTGGAAAGATTGAAGTGAAACACGTCAGCGTGAGCTGTACGACAGTGGACCATATGGCCATTGGTACAACAGCACATCACCTAAAGGTCGTTGTTTATGTTGTCTTCCCATCTTGCAAACTTTGTGTTTGTTTCCATGCATCATTTCCAGTCGTCGTATTTCTTTTCGTCTTCTCTTGTGTTGTTGTTTCCTTCGCTGTTATCAAATACCTGCTGTTGTGTCCAGCACAGGCAGTTCATATGTTCTTCAAAGACTTACCTGGACTGCCAAAGTTAGTGACTGAATCTGAGGTGCTGACTGAAGGCGAGGGAGGGTCCAGCACAGCACACACATGCATACGTGTGGGATTTGGGGCCTCAAACAGCAAGGTGTGTTCTCTATGACCAAGCACCATTACACACAGTCCATTTCGAGTTCCTTTTGGTCAGCAAAGGCTTCATGTTAGTCTCCATGGCCATCCACACTGGTTTGGTCATGGGCTGATTGAAATTCTTCTTTGCTGCAAGCCTCTAATAAGTCACGTTATGGACATTTACACTGCTCCTGTGGGACCCCCCTGAGTGCATGTTTGCTTTTGGTGCGTTGCCTGTGTGCTGTGCTCACCCTGTCGCACTCGGAGACTCTATATCATCTGATCATAGTATGGAAAAGAGTCTCACAAACACCTGCTTAGGAGGGGGGGGGAGTTGCCCGTGTATGACCTATTTCTCGATGTAACAAATCTTATCTAATATGTCACGGAGAAGGGGCAATGACTGTGGCTTAGTGCTGTTTCCAACAGACACCACCAGGGAAAAGGAGGAAATCGTGCTGGAAGAGGGGTGATAGTGGTGAGCTTGATGTGTACTTCGATGTTTCTGTGGTCTGGGAAGGCAGGAATAGCTCTATGTACTGTCTAAGCCCTTGCCATAGGACATTCAGCCGTTGTGCAGTTTGGAATGTCAGCATTGTGGGTTTGGCTTGCTCATTCGATTGAAACCTGTTGCTTCACTTTCGCCCTCCACATCTTGTCCTGTGGGCATGGTTTGGCTGGAACAATCTACTGGCCAATTTTGCAGGGAGCGAAGCAGGCCGCAGCTACCTTCTGTGCGTTGTTGTCTGTCTGAATTGCCTTTCATGTGGCTAGGTCGAAATGCCAGAAGGGCCTCAAACTCGGAATTTTGGTGGCCAAATATGCTGGAATGCACCCTGATTCAGACATTGTCCTGCAAGAAAACAGCAAAATGACCCCAATGCTGACAAATGAGAAGTGACAACTCCCTGCCTCTGCACTCGAGTTCCCACAGATTTGAGCAGTTCCACAGCATGACGGCTGTCGAATACCACAATGCTGTCTGCAGAACTGAGTCACTGGCACGATGATGGCAGTTTGTTTGTTTGTTCCTTACAAGGATGCATCGACATGACGTTACGGCATCGATCAATGTAGCGTGTGTAAACTAGTGTACGAAGGGCACGTCGAGGCCCACTCATATCGTAAAACACGCCTCTGATGGCAGTTGCTGCTGTCTTCGATTCCCAGAAGCTCCCCCACACAAAACATAAGAAAATTGTCTGCATGCCAAAGAAAGGAAGGGCACGCTATTCACTGGAGGGCTCACTGGCCTCGATGAAGCGAATTCTATCACCCACCAATCTTAGAAAAGTTCCCAGTCTCGCGCAGTGATTTCAAACCAAATCGTGCAAATTTTGCACATCGATACCTTCTGAGTTCAGCCATTTCAAGCGCAGATCCTCCACCTGATCGCATTCAGAAAGCAAGTGTGTGCGATTATACATTTGCCCACACAATATGCATTCCACCATCTCAGCATCATCTTGCAGAATTCTGAAGTTGCCAAAGTGGCGGAGCCCAGCCATGAAACGGCCCACCCAAGCCATCTCTGATCGATGACAAAGATGAGCATCCTTAGGACTTCATGGCTGTCCCGTGTCCGGAAGGACTGCGTGTAAGGAACATCCAGTGTTTTCGGCATGCCATCGACGTTTCCACTCGTCGATCAGAACCTCATGGACGCGGCGCATGACCTGACGCAGCTGTGCCTTTGTGATGTCCACCGAACGGCGACTCAGAATAGTGCGTTGAAACCAAGCTCCTCCCAGCTCCTCCAGAGTGGCATGAGACCGGTGGACAGTGGAAGGTGGAGTGCTCAGTGCAGCTTTGCGATTCTTGATACCCACCAGTGCAAGAGATGCTTCAGTGGACGTGAACCGCTCCAAACTGAAAGCCAATCTAGGTGCTTGTGCCCCAAAGTTCCATCAGTTTTGTCCATACGGCACTCCACTCCCAAAACTGCTGCCCAAATGGGACCCCCATAAAACAAAGATGGGATGACAGCTCCCCACACCAATCGCAGAAGTAGCAGTGGGTGCAGACCCCATGCCGTCCCAATGCCTTTTGCCAGTGCCCAAAGTTTTGCCCGTGCCTTGGTCGCAACCTCATGAACATGGTTATTTTATTCTAGGTCATGTGCGCATCAAACCAAATGCCAGGATAATGGAGTTTATGGGTGCTTCTCCCCATACAAGAATGCAGCGAATTTGCGATCTACCACAATATTTTACCCACTATATGTCATGCACTCGCATTTCTTAGGGTTGAATCCCGTGTGCCGCATATTATACCATTTTTCTGCTCTCCACAAGGCATGCCTCAAAGTTGGGTGAATTGCTCTAGAGCGCAAAGTGCCACATCTCTGTAGAGCCAAGTCGTCAGCAAATCCCTGAGCACCAAGGCGTCTCGAAGTGTTGAGGCTGTATAATAATTCGTGAACTGAAAACAGCGTGGATGAAAGTGGTGATCCGTGAGGGACACCACACTGTGTATGAACTTCCTTTACGGTGATGCCAATGTGCCAATCCGTTGCAGTACACGATGCTACAGGCAGCCTGCCCACTGCCGTGTTGCTGTGCCATGCATTTTGCAGTGCATCATCAATTATTGGTTGTAACAATATGCCTGCTTGAATTTGAAGGCACTCACTCCTACATAAGATTCCTGACAAAGTGTGATGTGTCTGCAGCAATGTGCACTTTATGCTTTGTGTTGTTCTTGCAGAGCTTCTTGTTCAAAGCCTCACTTTTTCCTTGTTGCTGTTGCAGGCTGGGATGGTGGGGATAGGAAGTATGTTCATTTTCTACTGTACAAGGAAAACATGGACAACCAGGTTGCTCTGAACACTCTGGGGAGGCTGTTGAGAGTGCCCACAAGTACCTTTCGCTTTGCTGGAACAAAGGACAAGAGAGGAATCACAGTGCAGAGAATATCAGGATTCAAAGTTTCGCCAGGCCGGCTTGCTGCACTGAATGCAAGGTATTCTATGTTTAGGTTGCATTGAGGATCTTCCAATGCATTGTACAGCAGGCTGGCTGTGTGTGGAAGACAGTTGGAGTGTTGCTGCCATTTTCAGCCGATTGCCATTCGGCAATCATCCAGCCTGCAGTATTGTGCCGCCGTGCACACTGTGAGATGGTGATCAGTCCATTCCCCCCTCCAATGCCCATCATCTGACTCCAATGGATGTCTTGAAATTTTGCAGTGTATGAAACTCACAGTTATGGCAATGCCTGTGCAGCATAGCCGTGTACTGAGCCAGCTGTTGATTTGTGTACAGCCAGGCTAGTTTCAAGGCAATGGATCAGCACATCCAGCGCAATGGGTATCTGGTTTTCAAATCTGCATGCCCATCTTGGTATCAATGCTAGGCCATTGTGTACGACAGCCACGTGTTGCTCTTTCGCCTGTCAAATGTTTGCAAAACTGGAGACTCCTATTGAGTACCAATGACTCCTGGCATTGATCCCTAGCGATTCCTGATGATGGTCACGTGTGTGGATGTTCACAGGTTGCTTGGATTGAAAGTAGGCAATTTCTCTTTTGCTGATGACAATCTGTACTTAGGCCAACTGGCAGGGAATCAATTTGAGATTGTGCTGCGCAATGTTGAGGGTGTTGATGACCAAATGGTGAGCAGCCATCCCACTTGCATACCTGTCCCATGACCTGTACTGGATTTGATCTGGCAGTTTGGATTCAGAGGGGTCCCTGAAGATTCTTGTAGAGTGCTGGGAATCTTAATTTGCGGTATAAAATGGCAGCACCTGTTGTGTCCACAAGCATGGGTATGTGAAGGCAGTTGACTCAAGAATATAGCCAGATGACTTGAGAATTGGAAATACAAATACGACGAAGGTAGAGTGGGAGCTTCTTGGGGCTGCAGACCTTGAGCTCCCTAGTTGTCCTTCGAAAAGTAGAATTTGGGTGGAACACAGGTGATACATGCAACTGCATGTTTCAGCTGTAACTTCACCCACAGTCAAAGATGGTGTTGGATTGTATTTGTTGCTTCAATTGATATTTGACTGGCCACTGCTTTGGGTGTCTTATCCAGCACATTCCTGCTGTGCTGAATCTGTGTAGTTTGTGGCAATAGATGCCATTCCATACTGTGCTGCACACACATTGCATCCCAGGATTTTTTTGAAGGCTTGGGGTAATTCGATGCCGCTGAGGCTTTCGTCATAAGCTGTGTATTGTGGATTGGAGCTACCCTGATTAACTCTGCTACTTGGAAAGCCATCGCCATAAATGATGTCACAATCAGGTGCTATTGCCACTGTGGCCACTGTTTGGTGAGTTTGTTTGCCATCTGTTGCTACCGTTTTGATGTCTGAATCTTCCCAACTGCAATTTATGCTAATGCCTGAGTATTGGTTTTATGCAGGTAAGGCAGCTGCGTGAATCCCTTAGGACAAGGGGATTCATCAACTACTTTGGTCTCCAACGCTTTGGATCCAAGGTTCCTACCCATCGCATCGGCCTGGAACTCCTGAAGGGAGACTGGTGTGAGGCTGCAGCCCTGATTCTGCAAGGATGGGAGGGTGACAACAACGATGTCATGGAAGCAAGGCGGCTATGTGTTGAAAACAAGGATTTCAAGGTGCCCTGTTATCAATGGACTGCATACTGTGCTTGTTGTGCCTCACAATGTGCCAGGATGCTATAGCTGGATTGCGCTTCATGGTCATACCTTCTGTGAGAGTCTATTTGATTTTGATTCAGTTGCCTCTGTGTCTTGTTTTCGCAGGGTGCATTGAAGTTGCTGCCACGGGCCTTTGTCAGTGAAAGAAGACTACTGGAAGGATACATCCAGCATGGGCAAAACAATCACCTGAATGCTCTTTTTGCTATCCCAGTCAACATTCGGACAATGTATGTACATGCATACCAGAGTTATCTGTGGAACCATGCTGCTTCACATCGCATCAAGCACTATGGGGCAGACCGTGTTGTTCCTGGAGATTTAGTGCTGCTCAAATCGCTGACCCAGGCAACGATGGATGGCAAAGATGGTCCAAGCTATGTTGCTGAGGCTGGCAGAAGCTCTTTGGATGACCAGAGCATGCTGTACAATAGACAAGCAATGATGGAACATGAAGCAGGGGGATCCATGGGGATTGGCGACAAAGACCTGGGGAATGGACAACAACGAGCCAGTCTTGAGCGCACAAAGCAGGTGCACATTGTGAGCAGCGAGGAAGCGCTGGCGGGCACTTATGGAATTGAGGATGTTGTGTTGCCAGTTCCTGGGAGCCGTGTAATCTACCCTGAACATGATACTGCACTAGTTTACTCCAGTTTGGCAGCTGAAAGTGGTCTTGCACTGAAAGAATGTCCACACAACGTAAGAGAGTTCAGTCTGACTAGCCTGGGTGGAGATTATCGCCGACTTATTTGCAAACTTCCAGATATGAGCTGTTCTCTTTTAGAGTATGAAGACCCTGACGAGACACTTTCAAGGACAGATTTAGATGTGTTGAGAGAATCGGGGGCGAAATGGTCCAATTGGCCAAAGAAGGAGAAAGCAGGTATCACCAGGAAAAGGAAGCTTGTGGAAGGTACCGATGGTGAAGTGAGCGATAGAGTCGAAAGTGTCGCTAAGACAGTTGAGAGTGGTGCTGATGACGAGCTGGCTGGAAATGAAGGTGCGGACCAAGAAAAGAAGTGGTTGATGCCGGAGGGCGCACGGCAGAAGCTCTGTGTGTCAGACGACTGTTTGGTGACCATGACACGTCAGCAGGATGGGAGGCAAAGGGCCATCGCTTGTTCCGATGGCCATTGTGGTGAAGAGAAGTTGAAGAATCCTGAGGATGCGGTGCCCAAACCAACGAAGGGGAGATTGAAAGGTCTGGCAGTGAAATTCGTGCTTCCGGCGTCGTGTTATGCTACGATGGTAGTCAGGGAGCTGATGAAAAGAAGTGTGTCAAAGGCAGAACACATGGAGAAAAGCAGATGTGTGACTGCTGGACTGAAGGGGCACTAGTTCTCATGATGAGAATAGCGGTGACAGAAGTGCGTTGTTGTTGCTGCATGGCAGCTTGTCGAACATTGCCGACCTCAGGAGCTTCTGTGCATGTCGTAAGCGAATGGGAGCTCATGAAAGCCAGGTGCTTGTGATTGGTTGTTTTTGCACCCATACGCTGCACAAGAAGGGCGTCCTCTTCTCCCCTAGGCTTGGTCTCACATCCCCTGGTAACGGAGGCAGGCAATTGATGCTGCGCTCGTGGATGCACCTTAACATTCTGGCCAAGGTTGGCACCATGCGTCCAATGCAATTGTAGGACTTGAGAGCAGAAGAGCACATGCTGGCATCTGTCATTGAAACAATCTGCATGAATTCGATGTTCGTCATGTGTCCGCGCTCACCATCTGCAATCTGGATCGCACCTCTGCCTTTGCATGCTGAGCTCGTCCTGCACTGTGGATCCTTGCCTTGCTCCCTGCCACCTCCAGGCTTGCGTATCCATCAAGGGCAGCAAATGGTGGGTACAACACAAGGCACCAAGAGCAGAGCCTCTAATCTAGCACCTCCAAGTGGTGGCGTGGCTACAGCAGAGGCTGGGTGGAAAGCTGCAGCTGGGTCGTACCTTAGGACTTTGACGCTGCACCCCAATCCATTTGTTTGTTTATCCTGCAGGGAAGGGATTCCCTGCAGCAGTGGTCATCACCACTGATGGCGATCTTGGCTGGGCTTGTGGCAACAAGCTGTCTTCATGCTAACGACTGAATGCCTGGCAGTCTTGCTGTGCGGAATACGCATAGAAAGAACATTTGGTACTCCATGCCGTGCCATTTCGTCAGTCTCAGTATGCCCTTTTGGTATGCCCATCTTTTCGGCCATTTTTCTGATTAGGCCCTCGTTTTTCACCAGGGTCTCAATTGCCTTCAGAGTATCATTCTGTCATCAGGGTATCGTGTTTTTATCAGACCTTCTCAGTGTAAGAGTGTCGTTTTATCAACATGGCCTTGTGTGATCATCATTTTCTTCTCCCTGTTCCCTCGCATTCCAAATCTGTTCCTTGGGAACGGCCCAGGAATGGACTGGAACGGACAGGAACGGGAATGGGAACGGGTCCATTCCTGGAAAAGGAATGGACACTGTTCCCATTCCTGTTCCTAATTTTTCTTGCTGGGGCCACCTCTTTGCCACAGTCTCTGTACATGTGGGAATGATTGAACAAGTTATGCTTACTAGCACTCTAAGCAGTGGTTGCACTAGAGGCGATATACCGTATCTTGGCAACCCCATACTTTGAAGTATTTGTCATCATTGCACCCTGCTAACAATGGGAATGGGGGTGTCATTTATAGAAAGAGACAGAATTGTAGGAGGGCTGTGGGTGGAGGCGAGAATGGAGAATTGTCTCGAAAGAACGATATAATGGTACCTGTCATTGTACTCTAAGAGCATCTTTATCGGTGGGTGTTATTGTCTTGGCAGTGCTATTCGGCTATTCGAATAGCACCCTGCATCAAAACCTATCATTAACAGTTGGGGAGCAATAGCACCCCATAGCACCGTTGATTAGAGGTGGCCACCCGGATCCGTTAATAGCGGACATAGGTTAATTTCCGTTAATTTTCCGTTAATTAACGGAAAATAACGAAAAAAGACAAAAAAATAACCAAAAATTAGCGGATTTTTGGATTTTTTGGGGATTTTTGGGTTTTAGTCATACTTATAGTTTATGGAATTCGCTATTAGAGAGTATGTTTGTATTTATTTCAACCTATGCATACTAGATTTTCAACTAGCCGCAGTTGTTGTGATTTTTTGGGTTTTTTTTTCGATTTTTTTTGATTTTTTTCGTTTTTTCTGAATTTTTCTCCCTTTTTCTTTAACGAAATTTAACGGACAGCTGATAAAAATTAACGAACCGGATTTAACGGACCGGATGGCACCTTTGAGTGGCCACCTCTACCGTTGATGTTATTGGGCGCCGAACAGTGCCATTCTGGGCCCTAATAGCACCACACGAGGCCAAATAGCACCCCAGAATAGCACATGGTGCTATATGCACAGAACATTGTAGTGCTGCTACGATGCTATCCGGCATAGAAATAGCATTCATCATTGCAGATGTGCGCAAGGGAGCAATAACACGGTTGTTCGCGACGGCGCATAATGACTACCGTTTCACTGGGTGGATCACTTCTGCTTGATGGCTTGCGACTAGTGGGCATGTCAAAGTGTGAATCGCTGCTTGAGGTTGAAAGAAATCTGAAAGTACCGAATAGCCATTTCTGTGATTGAATCCTGGTTTGGAATTTGGCCTTTGAGGTAGTTTTCGATCACACTCATGTTTGTTGAGGACAACATGAGCTTGAATAAAGAATGTCCTCCAATTCACATAGAGATGCCTTGGTCATAGTGTCTTGTTCGCAAGATGCAAGGGTGTGTTGTGGGGAAGTTTCGGAGGTGTGTTTCCCGAAGTTTTACAGCATTGTGACCGCACTCTACTTTCACTTTGGCTTGCAAGATTTGTTGTACTTGCACTTTGCAGTGGGGGCGTTTGGAAATGACCATATGCGGCACCTGAGTAGTCAGAGATATGTTGTTTTGAATTCTGAGTGCAAGAGAAGCTGTGGCATGTTTTAGATGTGGGTTCCATCATAGTGATGAGGTGGCATCAGGGTTGAATTGTCTTGTGGGCATTTGTGATTATGACAATCCTTAGAGGTCGAAAATGGGACATTGTATCAGATGATGGAAATTGGCATGAACGTGGCTGATCATTTTAAGCGCACCCCAGCTTGTTGGGGGCACAGCAACCTGTGTTGTGAACCACGCCTTGGCCTTTGTGTCTCCTGGCCATATGAGCGCCAGCGCGTGGGATGGCGACCCCTCCAATCGCCTAGCTATGGCCGCTTCTATGGCTTACTTCGAAGAGGATATGCCCATCATGCTATGCATGATGGGCATATCCTTTAACACGGTGCTGTTTGGCAAAGGAACCTATTGAACTTTGTACCAAATAATATTGCATCTGGTACCAACTGCCAACGTACCAAATAAAGTTGAAATTAGTACCAACAAATATTGAATTTGGTGCTGAATTCATACTTTACCAAAAATGTTGAACGGTGCACCACAAAATGTTGAACCAGCACTAATTACTCATCAAATCGCCGCTGCCATAAGGGCTCATAAAACCTAAAAGCTAACCGAGCCCAAGCCTAATGTTGGTCGTAGGGCTGGTCGTAGACTGCTATTTGATGACTAATTGGTATTGGTTCAACATTTTGTGGTACACCATTCAACATTTTTGGTATCGGTGCAATATTGATACCAGATTCAACATGTATTGTGTTAAATTCATTGATTGTGACTTCCATTGGGTTTGCATTGATGAATCTTTGAATAATCTCAGTGAGGCCTACCTAGGGGACGCAAGCTATATTGGTGGCAGACATGGCGCTGGAGTGGTTACTGTTGTAACCTCATCAGGGTTTGGCTGAATCAAAAGCCATTCACATCGAGTGTTGCAAACACTCCCACAACCTTCCTTACATATAAGGGAACAAGGCTTAAAGAGAACTGATGGGACCGAGTGGCGTCGGTGTTGCCAAGCGAAAGCCTTGTGGTCTTGGGGCAGACCACAATCCTGCTAAGGATACTATGAGTGAGAATGCCGAACACTAACTTTAGGATGATGGCATATACTGAGGGGATTGCGGGCCCACCACCGGTAGGTACCAAGGGAAATGCTGGAGTCCTTTGGGAGGTTTCAAGATTGACATTGACCAATTCCATGGAAGAAAGGTAGTAGGTATGCAACCTACCCAATCAGGATATGCCAGGGTAGTGACGAGACATATCGATTTGGGGTATGACAAAGGCAGGTCCATTTGGGGTTGCAACCAATCCTAATGACTCGGAAGCAAACTGAATAGTTATGGTAACCCCAGCCAATTGTATAGGATGGTGAAAACATGAGTGGTATGGGGCACTTGTGTAATAGCCACTTGTGGAAGTGCTACGCACAAGCCTAGTGTGGGGGAAGCTCTGCATGGTCGCCTGATGTGAGGGACGCCTTGCCCAAGATATGGTAATGATACCCGAAACAGACCCTATACTATTATACGATATGGGAGTAGGTCGGGGTGGTCTTGCCTAGGCAAGGACCTAGGTGCCCGGCGAGGCAGGTCCACGGCTTAAAGAGGTCAGGAGCCCCACACCAACAATCAACATGTATAAACTAGTTTCAGAGCCACCCGGGGGTGGCCCACCACCGCCTACCACTGCTTGGGGCCAGAGATGCCGCGCCCTCTCTAGGCTCTCATGGAGGCCGAGGGATCAGAACCACCATCCCGTGAGGGCCCGGATGATTCGGTGGCCAAAGAAACAGCCAGAAATGGCAAATTGGCGGTGGAGGCCGGTGACATGGTAGCATGCTGTGAGGGAACATCAGAAGCTGAGGGTGCGGTCTGGGAGGACATAACAAAAAGATTTGCTAGTCAAGCACAAGCTGAGGTGCAAGACCCGCCGATGGAAGAAGCAGGGGAGGCCCCCACACCGGTGGCAGAGCTGGGCAACATGGCAAAATATTTCCAAGCTCCTAGAATAATGGAGCTGCCAGAGAAGATGGCGCAATGGTGGCTGCCAAAGCACAGGAGACGCGTGACCGGGAGACAGCGGCCCAGATTGCATTCCTAGAGATCGAGATTGCCGCAGCCCAGAAAGAGGCATGCCATAGTGAACTTGCCTTGAAAAAGGCCCAAGGAGTAGAGCAAAAAGGCCGAAGCCAAGCAGGCCTCCGCACAGGAGCAAGTGACCATCCTAAGCAGTCAACTGTTGAAGGAGAAGTAGTGAGCCCCCGAAGTGGAGGAGTGGGCTTCGCCCATGCCCAGGCAGCCTGAGAGGGCACTCAATCCGATAGAGCCACGGCCAACCCTCCAGAGTATTCCAGAGGGTTCTAGAGAATGGAAGATGGCGGGTCGATCAGGGGCGAAGGGAAAGAGCCCCATGATAGGTGAGCTCAT